CCACCTCACTCGGGAGGAAACCTAGAGTCCTGCTGTGGTTTACACAGCCCAGTGAACTTCGGCTGCCGTCACCTCCTTCATTTCATACTCCCCTGCTCTGCCTGGTCTGCTCGGACTACCAAAGGCAGGGATTGAAGCATGAGCCTTTCAGATGGGCAGAGGGAGTGTACCAGGCACGGGGCTCAGTTCCCAGGCCAGAGCTCCACCTCCCTGTGTATCCTGCCTGTCTCCAAGACACATCCCTCTTCATGTTTAATAACCCATGTTTAAGCAGCTATTGATCAACTTACTGATGACTTGCAGCTGCATTCTCAACAGATCCAGTGTGCTAGAGATGCCAGTCATTACCTGCCCCTCCTCTGCCCCGTCTAGGAAAATCACTCCATCCACAGATACTAGCACCCAGACAGCTGTGTTTTGTGCCACATGATCTGTCCTGTTCTCATCTGCCTGACCAGCTATTCAGATTTGTCCCCAAATTAGCCAATTCATAGGATGGTCAGTGACCAGCCTATTTGGCTTTGTTCAAAAGATGAGTGAGGCCCATCAGAGTCTCTCTCAGGAATGGGCTCTGGGACTCCTTTGGTTTCTGACAGGACAGAAAGAGGTGACAGACAGCATGGTGGAGTCATGTGAATGGAGAGCCTTGGAAGTGATATGGTAGGCAGTTAGACAGGCATGAGCAGAGCAGAAACGATAGGCTAGGTATGGAATGTCACTAGAGAAGAAAGTCCCAGGTACCTAGTAATGGGCAAACCTGGGAAAGCAAGTGTTATAGGCTAGGACCTTACCCCAGAGTGACCCTGCCTCCCCTGGCATATCACTAGTCGTGTGGTTTAGACCCTTTAATGGAGGAACAAGAGAACCACATAATAGCCTGATGTGACTCCCATACAAGCCCTTATATGACCACTCCCTTCAGCACTGGGGCCTCAGAACAGTGAGGATCTGACCCTTATCAGATAATCTTAGGAATAAATCCTGGGTCTTTCGACCACAGAGACAGAGTTTTGGACAAACTAGAGAAGACATCCAGGCCTCAGTTGTGTTTCAGCTCCAGGCCCAGAAAATCAGCAAAACCAGAGCAAGCAACACCACACATGGCTGACATCAGGATCAGATGCAATGACTAATGACCCCCTGACCCTGTGCTGACCAATCAAGACCCTGAAGGACACCCTTGGAAAGCTGATGAATAGTCTATTGAGATCCTCTTCTGGGACCTCTCCTAAAATTCTTGCCTTTAAAAACTCTTAAGACAAGGTACCTAATGCTCTCTTTCTCTCCTCGCCTTTCTCCTCTTCTCTCAGGTGCATTACCTTTACATTTCCTTCTCCTAAGCTCCCACGATCCTTCTTCTGCCTCTGTAACTTGTTCCCTGAGTCCACATGGCCACTTCTTTTACCTCGGTGACTTTCTAAATAAACTTTCATTTGTATTTGAGTTCTTGGCTCTGAATTCTTTCTTAGCCAAGCTCAAAGACCAAGGTCTAACTTCTAACTCTGCTGGTAACAGAAGAACTTCTACAAATGTCAGGGTGAGGTCCCTGGCGTGGCCTCCGGTGCGTCCGTCATTCTGGCTCTTGGCTCTGAGAGCTCAGCCTGTCATGGCCCCAGTTTCCAGATTTCTCCTTGACTCCAAATTCTTCCTGCAATGTCCACTTCATTCTCCCCCAGACCAAAGCAATTTGAGAATGTAGGCTGGGGTCCTATCCAGCACTCCTTTTGTTTCCCTGCTTCTGCCAAGGGGTCGGTGGGGAAAGGGAAGAAATGCCAGCCCAGAGCAGCAGGAGACTGCAGCACTCCCTCCCAAAGACCCCACTCCCAGTACCAGCTGGATCCACCAGGCTCCCCAGAGAGTTATTCTGAGCAGAGAGCCTGCGGGACTGGTTTAGCCTTTACAAGCATCTGGTTTTGTGCTTCCCAAAGCCAAAGGAATAAAAAAAGAGAGAAAAAGGAAGAAAGAAATTCTTTCCAAGTGGATGGTGAATATGTAACCCCCTGGGGGTGTAATAGGATGGGAATAGAAACAGGGTCAGGAGGGCACTGAGGAGTCAGAGCTCTGACAGGTCACTGAGGGGAAAGCCACCAAGGTCCCAACCTTTCCTTGGTGCCTGTCAGCACCTGGACCAGCGGTGGTGGGGAGAGGCTTGCTGGGAGGTGGGGCTCCAGGTGGGAGGGTTAGGTGGGCTGGAAGGCACATGGAGCAGGTGTTCCTACAGAGTTCCAGGGTGCAGCCGGCTCTCTGCTTGGGGGAGGACTTCGGCTCCAGCTCCTTGAGGATTTATGGGACCAGATGAGGTGAGGGTCTCACAAAAAATGGTGAAGTTAAGCCAGCTACCAGGTGGACAAAGGTGCAGGGTTCCAGGAAAGGGTGAATGGATCCATAGATCCAGTATTTAATGAGCACTCACACCAGTCCTGAGCAGCCCTGGGGACCGATAGCCCACTCCCTGAAGGACACAGGCATGGATTCTAACATTGGACTGTAAGCCAGGGCGATTTTGGTGTGAGCTACCAGGAAGACTGAGGCATGCATGCTCAGGGATTAGTTCTGGGCAGGGGACCTGGGAGGGAGGTCTCGGGAAGATGACAAAGCATGAAAAAGACAGGCAGGCTCAGGGCCTTGGGGAGCCGGAAGCCCCAGCACCAGTGGCCTTGCTGTGCCTGCAGGGAGTAGATGAGATGGCTTTGAGGAAGGTGAGTGGGCTTGCGTTTGGGGTGTTTGGGGTCATCCAGACACAACATCTGGAGCTTGAGACAGACTCTTGGGGGCCATTTATGTATGAGAGATGATTTGGAGTGGCTGAGATTGCATGGAGGGTTGAGAAAAGGAGGGAGAAAACCCTGGGGGACATTTAAGGACAGAGAAAGGCGCCTGCGCAGGAGTCAGAGAGAGTGCGGTCAGGGGACCAGAAGAGGTCCCAGGGGCGTGGCTTGGGCAGGAGGGGAACATTTCAGGAAGCAGGAGTGGCCACCAGTGAGGAGAGCAGCAGAGACAGATGATGGGAGGAGATTAGGGAAATGAAAGGTCCCAGGTGACTTGCAAAAGTAGCCCTGTGGAATGTGGGGGACAGAGGTCCTGAAGAGTGTGGGAAGCAAGGCAAGATGGGTGGCAAGAGCCCAGCTTGAGAGGGAGGGTGGACCAGAGCTAGAGGTTTGGGGTGGGAAGCAGGAACGAAGCTTTCTGAGGGGGAGGGGCAATTGGACAAATGCCAGTGTCTTTGGAGACTTTCTTTTTCTCTGTCACATCTCACAGGACCATGCCCTTCTCACTAACAAACTTCCTCATTTCTTGAGGATTGTGCGAAGGAACTCCTATTCCTATTTTGATGGGTGCTGAGTCTCCCCTGTTCCCCCAATCACCTTGGCATTTCACAGGAGCTTCCTGGAGACAGTAGCACCATTTTTCATGTGCACTTTAAGGACAGTCTTTAATGACTTGTGTGGGCCAGGCTCGGGGGTGGGACACCAGAGGACCCAGGGAATGGTGCAGTGAATGCACTTCTCCCAAATGTCCCCAAATCACTTGCAAGAGGCTTCCTCTTCCAGAAGGGCTGTTGCAATGCTCTCCGTTCCTCTTGGTCCCTCTGCAACTTTTTGGCATGTCCTGAGACCAAGCTCAGCAACTCAGTGCTTTATTGATGATTAGAGCCGGGTCCCTGAGGCCTCTGCTGTGGCATGGGCTCTCTGGGTGCTCTGCCGCCCTCTCCCATCTCCTGCAGTCTCGGCACCTGGTGTGTGGGAGGGAGTTGTGTGCAGAGGACCTGCTGTCCAGGAGATGGGGCCTGAGGACTGAACATCTGACATGTGTTGCTGATTGATCATCATGCCAACAGAAAGTACTGGGCGAGCTGCGTGTACCACCTGCCTCTGTGCCTATTGTTATGGGGGCAAGGAGGTCCCCTCTCCGACTTAAAAAATCCTCCTGAAGACTCCCTCCCCACCTTGCTGCCTTGCCCCCACTGTTGGCCTCCTAGGGGTCAACTTCTCTGGCATGGGGTAACTAAAAATCACCCTGCTCAGGGACCCTCCCCTGCCCGGGAGCCCAATGTTCAGTCCTCTGATACTGGGGTCGACCCCATTGCTGACCTGATTGGACCAACAACCCCACCTCTGGGAGACCCCATTAAATTCAGCTTTAAGGTGGCCAATGTATTGCAAAGTAGGGTCCTCTTGGGGTGTGCAGTATGCTGCCAGCACCCACCTAAAACCACCCTTCCTGTGCCTTTGGGGGGATGCCAGGCCTGAAAGTCCAGAACCTGCTATAGTCCTACAGCGTGAAATGTCAGTTCCTAAGCCCTGGTATTCGCTGCCTTTTTGCCTTGTAAAATGGCAAGCGAGTAAGGGGTCTGAAATTGTGGTGACCTTTCAAACAGACAACTTTCCCAATACAGGATGGAAACTTTTGGCTTAAAATACTGGTCCATGTTGGCTCTAGCAGCTGGATCTTCCACTTTCAGAACACCTCCCGCTCCAGACTCCCTAGGGGATCGTCTAACCAGCTTTCCTTCCAAGGGCCCACTGGGCCCAGTCCTCACTGGCAGGCTGGTTGGGTGCATGTGGTTGATATTATCCAGCTAAAGACTGAATTACTTGCAGTCTCTTGGGAATATGATGCATTGGACATTTTACTCAGAGCTAACAAGCAGGGGTTCTAGGGAGGTGTTCTCTCACTCACCATGTACACCTGCCTACTTGGATTTGCATATTTTTTCTTGTGATGTTTCACCCATTTAACTGATGTCTGCCTTCCCCACTGAGGCCCTCAGAGGGTCACAGGTACATCTGAGGAGACTGACAAAGTGAAAATTCGAGCTTGTGATTACTGTTTGGTTCCCAAGACTAATCGCGCGAATTTTAAGTCAACGACCTCTCCTCTACCCCTCCAGAGTCCTTTGGTCAGACTACAAGTCCCAAGGGACAGCAGCCATCTATTAAAGAGACAGTTAAGTTGAAACTAGAAAGGTGAATGAACACCCACTCTATTCTGTCGTGGGCCTTTAGTATTTGAAAGATTTTAGAAAAAAAAAAAGTAGTTCTTTATAGGTTGTAAGCTAAAGAGGGACAGTTTGCACAGTTTGGACAAAATAGAAGTACTCTTACCAATAAATATGTCTCAAAATGACAAATAAATTTCTCCCCATTTGACGGCTCCGGATCCCAGCGAGAGGTGACGGGCACAGGCACAACGAGCCATGTACAGAGTGTAAACAGTAAGGCCCTTGGGGACGTCGTAATGAGGGGCAGGGCCAGGTGAAGCGGTGCGCATGGAGTTCCGCCAGGGGAGAGTGGGTCCACGGGTAAATTCAACAGGCATGTAAAACACCGTCCAATCGGCCACCAAAGCTGCGGGTGGCTGTGACAGGTCCTCAAGGTTCCTCCCGTTGGCAGTTAGGCGAAACGGTGTTCATTGAACAGTCCTGGTCCCAATGACTTTTCCCTAGGGAGGCAAGTGGCGCAGCCGTGCTGGGCCTCCGCGCCCCTTTCTCCCGAAGGGAGGGACCGGCCTGCCTGGCCACACTTGCGGCTGTCTGTCCAGGGTTCAAGGCATGAGTGGGGCAGTGTTTCTCAGACAGATTTGGAGCAAATGGCTCCGCGGGCTCCACAACCGCTCCTTCTGAAAGGAGGAGCTTGGGCAACTGTAGCCACGTAGGGCCCATAAAATTCTACCCTTCCAGGGCACCACCCCCGCCTCAGTTTTGAGTCCCTGACCTTCATGGGTCTTGAAAACAGCCAGCCTCCCTCCCCACATCCTCGCCCTCACCCCAGCTTGTCCGCCTCGCCAGCACACCCCAACCCCCGGCCTAGCTGGGGGATGCCTTAAATATCAGTCTCCCGGAGGTTGCTGTCGTCTGCCAGTTCGTAGGCCTGACAGGTGGCGCCCTCCGCGCCATCGTGGGGGACGCCAAGGGACACAGCCTCCACCTCCGAGCGCAGGGCGCTCGTGGCCTCAGTGCGTGGAGCGCTCCCGGCGCGGATCTTGTGCGACAGGCTGGAGACTTTCGCTCGCAGATGGGTGGTGGGTCTCCGGAAGGGCCCAGGCAGCCTCCACTCGAGAAAAGCGCAGGGCTGCTTTCCGCAGCCGGCGGCGGGAGCCTGCACCTCAGGCATGCCTGGGGAGTCTGAGGCTGAGAGCTCGGTGAGGGCCAAGGGGGCTCCGGGGAGCGCGGCACCCGGGCCGGGGACGCAGTCGGGGCGTGGCCCGCTGGTCGAGGCCCGCCAGTGGTGACCGTAGACGCGCCAGAGGGGGCGCCGGCGCCGGCGACGCCGGCACTGGCAGCGCAGGAGACGCAGGAAGGCGCGCTTGAACTCGCGACTGGAGCAGGGGTAGATGAGCGGGTTTACGCAGCTGTTGAAGTAGCCGAGCCAGAAGATTACCTTGAAGACGCCTTCCGAGGGCTTCAGCTGCGGGAACAGGGAACCTGCAGGGAGCAGAGACCCAGGTGGGTTAGAGAGACAGCCCGGGAGGAAGGAGGCTCAGGAAGTCCCTGGGCGCCAAGGGGCAACCCTCCCCGCGACCTCCAGGGGCCCTGGCTGAATGATCAACTAGGGATTCTCACGGTATCCCTCCCAAATGGGTCCCTGATATAATTCGAGGGGGTCCATGAACTTGGATGGGGAAAAAGAGTCATTTTCAGTTTTTCTCACAACTACCTGAAATTGAGCATTTCCCTCCATGACCGGGGTAGGCAACAAACCGAAGTAGAATTGGGCAAAACTATATGAATTAGTTTTTATAGCTCAAAACTGGTGCAACACTGGCAGTTTCCTAAGGCTCAACCTAATATTAGCTGGTCCTGCAGATTTTTTTCTATCACTTACAGTTGTTGCAGTTGTTTTGAAATATTGGCTCTGCTCCTCACTATTTGGAGATGATGGCCATTGGAAAGCACCTCTAGATCTTATTTCATGTCTTAACATAGAAGCACATTTATTACCACGTCACAAATTTCATTTAAAAATATTTTGGCAAGGGGTTCCATACAATCAGTTTTACTTGCAGTCCTTCGTATTTTATTTAGTGCATTTGAAAGCGTGACTCAGAGAAGAGCTCTTGAATAGTTCCCAGCGCAAAAAGGATGAGAACCCCTGACAGTGTGGAGCAAGGCTTTCCTCATACCAGGCACCGCGCTGAGCTCCCATCAAACGTCGCCCTGCTCCCTTGTGAGTGATGTGGATCAAATAGCATTGGTACGCGGGTGTGGTGGTGCTCAACCTGTGGGGTGGGGACCTGTCGGGGGTCTCAGAGAATGGGCAGGAACCAGCCAGGGTAGTCAGGGCCGCGGGCGTGGGAGTGGAAAGGACGGATGGGCAAGAGAGTACCAAGCCTGGGGCCTGGGACTGTCACTTCGGATCCACTCAGAAAATGTCACTGGAACAGAAGAGCCTTAGATTCTGGGAAGTTTGGCTTTTATTTTGTGGTCAGAAGCCATGGATATTTTTAATCAGGTGAGAGATATGGCCTGCAATTAAATTTCCAGAAACAATGGCCATGGCTGTTGGAATTCAGGACAGCGGCGCTGTCTCAGTGGGAGCAGTCAAGGAAGGCTTCTGTGATGGCTTTGGGGGAGCAGCGCCAGGCAGGACAGGGTGGGGGCACTGGGGTCTGAGCTGTGACAGGAAGACCTTCCTATAAACCTCTCCTCTGGCATCTCCACCATGGACCCGAAGAGTCATGTCTCCAAAAAGTACCTGACAAAATGCAAAGGCATGATCCAGGAAGCGAAGGCCACTGTCTCAGCCTTACTCATCCTCAGTGGCAGCAGGAGTAGAGGGTAGGTGGCAGGAGTGTCCCATTGCGGCAGAAGCTGCTGGCGCCCAAGAGGCTGAGCAGACCAGGAGTAGGTGTCCTTGACAAATCATGGCGCCTGCTCTCTCTTTCCCTTCCCCCAAAAGAAATAAGAGCAGGGTCCCCTACTGAGGGGGCTGAGGCACCATGCCCCCGTCTTGAACCTGGGGCCCTTGCCTAGCACACACTTCTCACCATACAGAGGATTCCAGGCGTGAAGAGACACTGTGGAGGGAGGGAAAGTTCCCGAGCATTGTGCGGCACAGGCCTTTCAAACCATGGTCACAGAACCCTGAGCAAGTTATTTGACTAGCTAAGTCTCACTATCTTTTTCGGTCAAATACAGACAATATTATTTCCCTGGCACGGGTTTTGTGAAGATTCCTAAATTTCAGGGCCTAGAACTTAAGTTCTTAATAAATACTGCTGTTATTCACTCTTCTCCCTGTTTCTGCGGCTTTTGAGAGAGGAGACCGTGGGCCTGGAAGGGACTCATTTCCCAACTCTGGAGAGTGGCCAGAAACAGACGCCTGGACCAGGGAGGTTTGGGGGAGGCTGGCACATCCACCAGGGTGTGTTGAGGAGATGATAACCCCTGGGAGAGGAGTTGGGTTGTTGTCCCTGGAATGTAGGGTCCACTGGGGTTGACCTCAACCTCCAGAAAAGAAGCCCTCCGAACAGCATCCCTCAATGGTTGCAAAGTAAGGCAGAGTGCTGAAAATAACTGTCTGACTCAGGCCACAGTTTTTTATATTTAGCCCAGGATGACAAATCAGCGGACTATGCTTTCAGTGACAAGCCTGAAGCCGGCCAAAGGGCATTGATAACAATGTGGTTTTGATTTGGATTGGTGGGTGACATGGCACATCTTATGACCTGGGCCTGGTTGTAACCATCAGTATTCTAATTTATTCTCAACCAACCTGTGTGGAAGCCTGCTGCCTGCTGGGATTTCCATACACACATGGAGCTGGCATTCAACCAGCCTTTCAACCCTCCAATTTTCCTACTGTGTCCTGCTGATGTTCTGTCTTACTTGGGGCTCTCCCAGAAGCAGACTCTGAGATAAGAATTCAAATTCAAGTTGTTAATTAGAAAGGTAAATGAAACACCAGTAGTGGAGTGGGAAAAAGAGATAAGGAAGAGAAGAAAGCTGATAAAAGGTGTTATGGAATTTCTTGAGATTCTGGAAGACAGTAGAGAATGGGAACCTTGGAGTTATTTCCCACCCCCATCCTGTGGGGTGAGGAAGGTGGGGTACCTATACACCCACTCCCATAAGTCATTGGTTGATTTTCCACGCCTCCTTCCTGCTGTGTGGGTGGACAGGGAGGATTTTGGTGGGCAGAGAGGGCCCCTGGGCAGAGAGACAAAGGAGGTGCTTGGACGGAAGTTAGCCCACTAGTGCACTGAAGGTCTGGGGGGGGGTGGTGAGGCACCAACAGCATCTGCCACAACTTTATTTGTTCTCTGCCCACTGTACACAGACATCTTGCCTGGAAAATACAGACATTTGTGCTTTGGGCTTCAGCTTCCACAAGCAGTATTTCCCAAGAGACGTTTCTTGTTCCCTTCATAGATGGCAGTTCTGAGTCTCACAACTAGGTCTGCTTAGAGTGCTACATGTAGTCTCCCCTGTGCCTCCCTGCACTCTGCCTCAGTCTCCCTGCCCCCCTCCCCAACCCCTTTTCTCATCGGCGTACAGCCTCTTGCAAGGACCTCTGGGCCAGACAGGGCCATGGGCAGGCACTTCCCTTTGCTTTGCGTGTCACAGATGAGGTGAAGAACTGTCCTGAGACTCCTGAGCATGGGCACTTGGCTTATAGGCATGTCCCTACCATGCTACTCTGCTGTGGGGGTATCAGCAGACAAGCTCCTTCTCAGCCACTCTCAGCTTCCTCCTCCCCCAGCCACTCCAAGTTATGGCTACTTGGGTCGACCAGCTGTCCTACCTGCCTTGCCTCCTCATCCCTCCCCAGCTGCCCAGCACACACGTTTGCCAGCTCCTGTAGCTCAGATGCAGGAAAGCCTCAATGGGAAGCTATGAGCTCTGAGACAAGGCTATTCTCTCTCTGTACCTGGCAGTCCCCTTTTCTGCCCTGGGCTGGCTCCCTCTCCCACTGCCACTTTGCCCACAGCCTTTCTTGTAGGCATGAAGACCAGCCGTGCTACGTAATCTTGGCAGCCAGCAATGGAACCAGAGGCTCTCATGGGATGCCGTCCCCCACCTTCCCACCTCTCCGTCCAGGAGCCCAGAATCACCTCCCTGCTCTCCTTTCTCTTGTGGTTCCTGCTTCTCTCTGCAGTCTGACTTTTGTGCTTATGCGCATCAGATAAGTGGCCACACTGACTTCCCTCTGGCCACAGTGGGCACCTCAGTTGTGCCTTTGGGCTTTTGCACATGATCATTCTGGATGCCCTTCCACTTTCCTTTACCTGGTGGTGCCACCTCTGTGGCACTGCCTCCTGGAAGCCTTCCTCACACCACCCCCTCCCATGAGAGCAGAGTTAGTTGTACTCTCCCCTCCGCCGGCATATCTACTCACTTCTAAGTTTCCTGTCTCTCTTAGCTTTAAATGGTAAGCTCTTCACAGCATGCTTGGCCCATCATGGGTGCACCATACATTCTGACCCCTCTTTCTATTGCATCCTGCGTCCCATCATCGCCAACTCCTACGGGTCCCAGAATCCCCCCATTGTGCGCCATCCCCTGTAATCACCCTGGTCCCAGCTACCATCAGTCCCAGCTCTTCCTTATTCCCGCACCAGCTCCTTTGACCCTTGGCTCCTATACAAGCCTTGTGGCCACCCCTTCTCCAGAGCATTTGACTTCACCTCCTGTTTCATGGAGAAAACAGAAGCCAAAGAAGTTGGAGACTCACTCAAACCTTCCTCTCTTCTTCCTTGTAAGAAAGGAGTTCTTCCCCTGCCAAGGCCCATGCCCTAGTTGTGTTTGGTGCCCTCGAGCCATCAGTCACCTGTGAGCTTGTTTCTGTCACAGCTGTGCCCTCAGTCTCTCCACCCTTTCCATCCACACCTGCTGTCTCCTCTTCCATACCTGCTTTTAACTCGACTGCTTTGCCCCACAGCCCCAACCCACACAGGCCCCCAACCTGAAGACACTTCTCCTGTACATTCTGGACACATCACCTCACTGTGGTTTCCAGGGTGCCGCTCTCTTGGATTTTTTACTCTGTGTCAATTTCCTCCGCCGCTTCTTCTCCATGTCCCCACTGCTAGATGTAGGAGTGCCCTTATAAGAAGAGTCTTGTAAAGGCAGTAAGGTCTTCCTCACTTCCCATTTAAAATTGCAATGTCCTCCCCCTACCCCCCTGCTCCCCATTCTGCTCAACGGGCTCTACTGCTGTTCACAGCACTCACCACCTTCTCCTGATCTATGTGAGGTATTCTTCACTGTGGCCATCATTTCCTCCCCACACTCCCTGGGCCAGGATTTGTGTTTGCCTTCCTGGCGCTGTCCTCCTATCACCCGCAAGACCTCATGAGCACACCGAGGATACAGTAGGTACTCAACACTTGCTGAGTTTGCCGAACGAGCCCCTCTTCTCTACTCTTACGTGTCCAACTGGCCACCACATCCAGTACATTCAACTTTGTCTCCAGTAGAGTCCC